AGGGAAAATTTCATTTTCAGCCCTGGGAGTTTTGTCTTCTTTAGTTTATTTATCTTCTTAGAACATCCTCTTTTCTGATAGTGATATTCTTTAATTTCTCTTCTTCCTTTCCTTAAATATCAGTTCCACCTCTGGAATTTCATCACAAATTTCTTCTGTGAAAACTGATAAAAGTAGCTGTTCAATGCTTTGCTTATTTCTCCCTGCCATTTATCACTTCTCCCTCCCTGACTTTAAGGCCCAACTTGTCCTTGACCTTTGTCCTATATACCTGGAAAATCCATGGGATTCTCCTTGGATTCTCTTGCTATTTTTGATTTCATAGTCTCTCTTTGCTTTCCTTACATTTTTTCTTAACATTCCTAGATAGTTCATTATACCTATTTCTGAGCTGCTCCTCCCTCCTTTAATTTCTTATATATTCCTTTCTTTTATTCCTATGTCATGTTTAAGTTTTCTGGTCATCCACCTTAGCTCATTCTTATTTGACCTAATTTTTCTGTATGGTATATTTTGTTCTTGTGCTTTATGTATTATACTAGTGAATATATTATAGTCATGATCAATTGTTGTGTCATCTATGACCTCACCCTTCTACTGGGGACTGGCGTAGCTTTGTTCCCAGGTGGCCTCACCTAGAGTACTTCTAGCAATCCCTGATAATCCGCCAACCCGAAAGTTTGGGACTCTGACCATATTGTCATTGTTTTTAAGTTTCCCAATTTAGGGTGAACCACAGATTTCTCTGTGATCACTGTTACTAATTCTTCCCTACTGTGATATCTCTGATAAAAAGTTTCTTTATTTGTTTAATAGGTCTAATATATTGTCACCTCCTAGTAGGTTCTGTATTAGTTGTTTCAAAAAATTGTCCTGTATAGTCTAGGAAGTCTTCAGATTCATAGTCACCTGCAATGTTGTCCCAGTCAATATTTCTAATATTTCTGAAGTTGAAATCCCCATAATGCATAGGTTGTTATATTTTGCTGCCCTACTCATTTCTATGCCATATGGGCTGAGCTGCTTCTTTGCCAAGACTTGGGGCCTGTAAATCAATCCCATGATTAGTTTTCTCTTCCTTCGTGATTTCTACCCACACAGACTTCGGTTCCTATTTCACCCTTTATTGAATTATTAATACAACATTTTAATGTAGCTCAGCAATGAAGAGTCTGACCCCTCCCCTTCCTACCTTCCTGTCCTTGTGAAAAGGTTGTACCCTTCTATGTGGTACTCTGATAACAAAAAATTTGCTCGCCAGATTCATCCAAGTTTCGGTGATTGCTATGGCGTCTACATTCTCGGTACATACAACTGCTCTCAACAAGTCTATTTTATTTCTAACGCTCCTACTGTTTGTATAGTATACATTTAAACCTACCCTTCCCTGGTCCTGTTTTACCCCTTGTCAGAGCAACTAATTTTACTTCCAGGACCTGCTTGTTTTGACTCCCACTTTCCCGACCTCTCTCTACTGGCGAAACCCCCTTTGGATGACAATTTCCGCTCAGGGATGCGAACAGCGTCTTTACCCCCTCACGAGACAAATTGTGCTCGTGCGACTGTACAGGTAGTGGATTTGCCGCCAGAATCGTTGCCAGCTATCAATGAATGCCCAACCATTGTTTTGCACAATGTTTTTCAGTCGGCAATTGCTCATATTGCCTATGGACAGCCATTCACGACCAACCCTCTTCTAGGCAAGACACCACATACTATCAGGATCCCTCCTATCTCTAATCATCTAGCGCCTCCCTATACCTCTGCAGAAGAGTTCCTCACTCCTAACCTTACCTATGTCGTTTCCTCCCACACTAAGACACACACTACTGGATTGGTGCCTCCTGACAAAACCCTGTCCCAACCTCTCAGCTACATGCCTATCCCAGCCCCCGGGAATACACACCTAGTCCTGCGTTTCCTATCTCTCGCACAAAAAGCCCTATCTACAGACCTCACCTGGCTGTCCCCAGCTACCACGACCTTACCTGTGGGCAGGGTTTGTACAACTTCACCCTTTCCTCTCCCTTGCTCCATACCGTCCTGCCTCTTCTCTTCCTCGCCAGCTTCCTGCAGCACCTGGTAAGGGTTGCTTCACTCCACACCCTGGTCAGCTTTCCTAAGCCTGACCCTAGTCCCCACTGGAGACAACCACTCTCACGCTTGCTCCTCCTTAGCAGGTGTCCTGCTAGGCAGGACTTACCTACCTGAAAGGATTCCGTCCTGAGGGCTTCATTTTCCCCTTTAGAGTGTCAACCTCACTCCTCAGGTACCCCAACTGCCTTAACAGGTGGCAAGGAGGGTCGTCTTTTCCCCCACCTCCCTCTTCCCCAGAACTTACAGCTACTTGATCCGAGGCGGCCATTTTTCCTTGGTCTCTAACAGGGCTTACTTGCGGGCACGACCTTCTCAAGCTGGGTCAGGTGGCAACTTATGTTATGTTTGCTGTGGTTGGTGTGTGAATTAGTGGATGTCATGTTTTTACCTGACCTCATGTTTTGCAACTTGCAAGGTCACCCTGTGTACATAAGCTCTCTCAGTTTTGTGAATTCAGTTGCCTCTGAAGATGTCTTGAATAAGACAGCTAAGGTTCTCCGTTGTTCCTTTTCCCGTGTGATTTTATCAATATATATATATATATATATATATATATATATATATATATATATATATATATATATATATATATAACCTAATCATCATGGGTGTTTCGTTAATTAATACGAAATCAATTTTCAAAGGTGACCTGCCCGCACTACAAAGTTCGCACATGAGTTAAATCTTTCTATTGCTAAGCCCTGTCAAAGTTTATACCAACCTGACTGTAAGACTGGTGACTGTTAGACGTTCCACTGAGTTACTTTGGCAAGCGACTACTGTACATCATGTGAAGACAATCGGCAGTTCAGGGTGACCTGCCATGGACCTATAGCCAGCCTATCCTTTGGGCTACTACGGCTTACTTTATCAATCTATAAATGATCTGGAAGCTACAGCATGCTAGACGACCCGATAAGCAAAACACAGGCATTACATATCATGTTGGCAGTGTTAATGCATCACATGTTACAGTAAATGTGTGTGGGATAACCTAATGGGTGCTACTATATCGTGCTGTCTACAAAAATATGTTTTGTCTAACCTGACCTGACCTAATCAAACCTAAGCTAACTTAACCTAAATATCTTGCAGACCGCGTGCTATGGTAGTGTGGGGTTCAGGATATTTGATTCACACTCGGGATGGAATGGAAAGAAATCACAATGTGCTCTCTGTATACATGTTGTATTGGATGTACAATGCAGCTTGGTGCTGGGAAGGCAGCGTGGTTACAAGCGTGATGTAGAGAGAGCTGGTTGGTGAGGGTGCTCAGAGGACCAGCTTGTGGTCGCCATGCTCGCCGGCGGGAGAGGGCGAAGGCCGCCAGGCAGCGGCGGAGGAGGTGTTGCTGGCTGCGGCTGTAGGTAGAAAAAGAGACAGGTCACCACGAGGTCAGGTCTTAAATAGCGGGGGTAGGCGTGGCTTAGTAGTTGACCCCGGTCCGTGATGTATGGCGGCGCTGGTTGACCTAGACCACGAAGCATACACTGGATAATTGGTGGGGTCGGCTACTCAGCGACAAACAGCGTTTGTAGGGGAGAAATCCACTACAGTAGCACCACCTCATGTCTACCAGTAGAGAACTCTTACTGATTAAGTGTAAAATGTCAGTTATTATTGATACATGAAAAGACAAAAAAATATATCGGAACTAAAATACATCCCTTCACTACTAACTCTAGAGTACTTTTGGTGTGATCAGCTCTGTGAATGACTGCACTCCCGCCCTCGCTAGCCTCAACCAAGCACCCACAGTGACCCATCACTACCACACTGACACCACCTGAGTATATGACTGTCAATAGAGAGTTATACAGTGTAATCTATGAGTGTTATTTTAATCGTGGGAAACCGTCAAGCATAGAATACAGATCATGAGTGGCATTCAATATAAATGTGGATAGTGGTAAGCTTGTAGCATGGCGTGTGGTGTGAGTGTGGTATTGTGGTCGTGGCAGCGGTGGGGTTCATCTTCACAGGTGTGCTCAGAGTCGTCATGAAATATCAAAACAGGATTAAGGAGAATTACTTAACACGATAGTATGGCGGCGGAGTAGCCCACACAGATTTACCTTTGGCTAAGAGAACCACCATCCCCCCCCCAACCCCCGTCCCTAACGTCCAGCACACGAACTTGTCCACCAATCAGCTCCATCGTTTTAAGACTACTACCCATTCATTCATAAATTTGTCACTGCCTTAAAATATGTTATGCCTCAGAATATATTAAGAAAAATATAGAGCAATGCCATAATTCGACCCATATTTTTGCCCAATAAGTGTAAAATTTAAAAAAAGTATTTGGCCAAAATAAGTTCAGTTCTTTTTTTCTTTTGTGTCGTCAACCAAAATAGCTACCATCTTGATTTTCATGATGTTCCACTTCTTCAAACTTTGGAAATTTTATATAATTTTCATATTACTGTTAAGTAAATAATACAAAATGAGGTTCAGAAAAGTTTGCAGTTTGTTCCCAGTCAAACCTTTGATTGACTAACTTACGTAAATCCATGGGACGAAGTTATTTTTAATGGCAAGATCCCTGTTGATCCTGTTGTGTTCTAGTAAAAAATAAAAAAAGTACGAGAATGAGTATTCTAGGCTGCATGGGGAACTTGCTTTCAATGAGCTATCGTGCCTAACGACCCAATTAAGCAATGCAGTCGTGGAAGAATTTTTCTCGCATACCAACGCAGTTAATACTAAAGTAAGAAACCGAATAAAGTTCAATATACCGGACCAATATTATTGATCAGCACGTCATCGTCGATTACCAGGTAAGTTTGTCTGATTTGATAATAAATCTTGAGGAATCTGGTAACGAGTGCAAATTCAGACCTGGCAACCTGAGTACCCGGTGAGGGAACACTCAAGTACAGCTGTCCAGTGAGAGACTGCGAGTCAGAACCTCAGAGAGCAAGGGTCAAGAAAGGAATAGCAGCAACGCTCCACAGTCGTGTGGCTTTCTCTTATCATTCTACGCGATGGCTCCTATAAAGAACACAGATAGTCTGACTGTGGACATAAAAGGGAACTGTAACATAGAGGTAGATGAAGGTTTCCAATCGCCATCTACGAGCACATCAGGGCGGAGGTGTGAGGATCTGGCTAGTCGAGCAGGACCAGAAGTTGAATTGGGTGATATTAGTAGTTGTAGTACAAGTGACAATGACAGCCAGCCTGAAGCGGGCGCACATGCGGTCTTCGACGTTGAAAATGACGAGACCTGGTCAGAAAGATGTAGCCAGAGTGATAATGAGAGTTCAAACCGAGAGAGAGACCAAATGGAATACCAGGCTGAGACCCTCGCGGAGTTCATCGTATATACCATAATCGGTAAAAAGAATGGCGGAACTGACGATAAAGTAGAACAGACGTTGTTGAGGTGTGTGAGAACGATGATGCAGAAACATGAAATACTGCTAAAAGGAATGATGAGAAGATTAGATATAACTAGAGAAAGTGGGTACGTTTCATTTTTTGCTGTGGCCAACGAACTCTTTGAGGGGGAAAGGCAGATTGTCACCTGGGGAAGGATAGTGGCCCTCTACGCCTTTGGTGGACAGCTGTCCTTGTACTGTAAAGAAAATAACATGGAAGACTTCTGTGTCAAGATAGCCACGTTTATGGGAAAATATGCCAGCAATATTGTAGTGCCGTATGTAAGGAGCGTCGGTGGATGGGTAAGTTCAGACGTATTGTTTTCTGCATAGTGAATGTTGAAGTTAAAGCGTCCAAAGACTTCGTTTTATTTTAATTTTAATTATGTACTGAAATTATTTTAGCATTAAATGTAAATGGGTGGTGGAGCAAGGAAAGATTGTACGAGTTTACTTTAATAAATGGCCAGTAAGGCCATGGCTTTCCCTTTGACAAAGTTCTTTGGGAAATCCTGGAACAGATGGTTAAAACTAGAACGCATTCGATTTCGTTAGTTTCCCCATTTTTTATGACCAGTAAAAATAAAGGTAATTTTTCGTTATCCACCCATCACCTTTTTAAGATTTTTCTTACCATTTACATCTCCTCGAGAAACGAAAGAATATACTTGAATTTAGCGGCGCATTCCAAAAATAAACGCGGTATTCGCGATTTATTAATTCTAAGTCGGGTAACCTAACCACCTTTTAACATTTGCAAAAACTAAGTGTCCTCATCTTTGGGTCAGGGCTACCCATGCTGAAGGGGTCACCCTCCCCTGGCCTTGTCCACCACGGGCCATGGAGCAAGACTCCTACGTGTTTGCCGTGCGTGGCGACCCGTACTGCAGGGAGACTGGAGTCCTGGGGTTGGGCAATGCTGTGTGCTGTGGCTAGCAACACGTCCCTTCGGTCCCTTATTCCGGCTAGACGGGCGGCTTTGACTCGAGCTCAGTCAAGTCAATCGGCTCGTCAACAGTGGTCACCCTTCAGCCCTTCCAGGTCCCGGGTGGTGCTACTGGAACTCGTATCCCCACCGTTTCAACCTCGCCGGCTGGCGGGCCGAACCCTGATAAATTTGAGGTGAAGCCTAAAGGCCAAAAACAAATTAGAAATAAGCAGAAAGGCCCTTCAGGCCCTATGATCGAGAGATTGTCTGGCACGTTTGAGCCGGCAGCATATCTAAAATATTAGTAATCTAGTCCATTGATGGTATATCAATAATGGATACTAGTGTCTCCCCCCAGAGGGATGGTAGCCTCCTGGTTGTGTTGTTAGGGTGCTCGCCTAATAGAGATATCTCGAGTCCCCGGAGCTCAGGTTCCATGTGGCCCTCTCGACCCTCAATCGTTACCAGGGAGCCCTCTACTCCCGAGACCTGATGAGACATTGGGAAGAAAAACTGTTACAATAATTAAATCCATCTGATGTGATAAGAGTAGAACGTTTTAAGAAGGTTGGTGGTGTCTTTATACCAACCTCTACATAGGTTGGATAGCTTCAAACATCGGTTGGATGGATATATGAGCGACAGGGGTTGGGTGTAAATGGGACTGTCCCTGCAGTATGGGACAATAGGCCCGTTGCAATTTCCTCCATTCATTTATTCTTAGGTTATTTTGAAAGGCTAGTTTTGCCAGAAACCTTCACTCCAGGTGAAGCCATACGTGCCCAATCCTAGACTTCCAGGAGTTTCGGCACGTTAGTCACTCGTGTCGCAGTTTGCAGAACTGTCTTCAAAGTGTATGTGGGAAGTCTGATAAGGACGGAAAGGTCCTGTCTCATGTTTTAACTGCCATGGAGCTCACCCAGCCTCGTCAAAGAAGTACGATTGCTACAAGCTCGAGAAGGAGATGCTCCAGATTCAAAGCAAGGAGAAGATTATCTTTGCCGAGGCAAAGCGTCGAGCTCTCTCCCGGTTCTTGCGTCCGGGAGTATCTTATGCCTAGATGCTATCCTTTCTTTCTTCCTTCCCACTCGACGTCCCGCAGTTCTTTTACTGAGACAAAATGCTCTAATTACTTCTGTTGCTCCTAGTTTGTCTCCTTCAACTGATGCTGTTATTACTAATTCCTCCTCTACCTCCCCCATGAGGTTTCGGGGAGCCCGTTTCGGCCGCTTCTCGTACTTCGTCGAACCAGAAGCGGTCCATGAGTTAGGGTTCTCTTGAAGAGACTCCGCATAAGACCCTGTGTAGACTAAGGGATTGATGATGGGTCTCGGAAGGCTAGCCAGGTGTCGGCTACGGCCGCCCAACTACAGACCCATAGTCCTGGCAGTTTGCATGTTTAAACTATTCGAGAGGATGGTCAATACGCGCCTGTTATGGTATTTGGAGAAGGGTGGCCGTATCTCGACTGCCTAGTGTGGTTTTCGTCGGTACCACTCGACGATGGATGCGCTTGTTCGGTTGGATCACTACCACCTGTCGGTCCTTTGCATATCGACAGCACGTGGGATGACTTCTTCGACATCGAGAAAACTTATGACATAGCCTGGCGGTACAGGATACTGCAGGTTTTGCATTCCTTTGGCCTCAGAGATCGGATGCCTTTGTTTATACGAGCCTTCCTTAGTGACGGTAGTTTCAGGGTGATAGTAGGTACTGCCCTCTCGCCCACCCTCTCACAGGATGAGGGTGTTCCTCAGGGCAGTGCCTCATTGTCTACCCGTTTTCTTTGGCCATCAATGGTATAGCCAGTTCTGTGCCTTTTATGAGTGACTGTACACACAATTGCAGGATCTCCATTATTTCCCTCTACTTTGACAGCACAACATATCGTTTCTTACTCTTGGTTGTTTTGTTTTTTTCATTTCGTGTTTGTTTATGATTCTTTATTTCTTTCCGACCCGATGTGGGTTAGTGACCTGTGCCTGGGTGAGCTAATACCCCCCTAAAATAATATTTTAGTGAGCCTAGAGGTTGCAAGTATGCATAATGCTGCATAAAGAAATTCATAGTATGGTGGTGGGAGGGTCATAGGTGTGTGGGCATTAGGTAGCGCGATATGATTTAGTTGTCCACCTTACCCTTGATCATGTATCGTGTTGCTTTTGCTGTCAGCGCCATAGCTCCTATCCTGGTTTCCTTTCAACTGTCCATACATAAAATTACTGCGCACTATTGTACTTCATTATCATGTGAATGTTTATTCACTTTGTGATCATTGACATATTCCTTCAAGGATGTGCCATTTTTTTTCATTTGTAAAGGAACTTAGCTTTCTGTAATGCAGTTAATTTTGTAATTACAGTTAATTAAACAAATATATTGATAGTAATTTCCCTTTCTTCTTTACAGACAAAAATATGCGAGGAGTTTCCTGTTGAAGATTTAGAAAACAAAGAATGGCTGTACCTGGTATGGGCAGCTATTGGAGTGGGACTGACATCATTATTCGCGTCGCACTGATTGGTAATATTTCACTGCATTATAATTATCATGCATCAGTAGAACAAATGTTTCATCATGTGTATGTTTTACCACAACTCGGGTGCCAAATGTAGCTCATAGCACCTCTTATGTACAATACAATACAGTACTGTACTGTACTCTCATTTTTAATGCTTGATTCTGGCAGGTATCAATTTATTATTTCTGTTTTGGTCTGGTACTCCGTGGACAATTTATACTATTTTTAGCTGTAGCGCCTTGTATATGTTGACCTGCATTAGAGTGAAAGGGTTTATTTTGGGTAGTGGTCAGAATATATAATTTTGAAGTGGGAAAGCAGTATCTTGTGACACAATGTATTACTTATAATACATTATTGTACACAATTATGATCTTCACTACTTTCTATTATACAGGTAATAGAATACATGTTTTCAGTACTTAAGTTAGTTATAACAAACTTCTCATGAAAATTTTGTATGTACAGTCACTCAAAAAAACGATGGTTTTTAGAATGAAGACGGACTCCTGTTGTCTCGGTAGGGATGACAAAATCCTTCGTCCGTGGTCATATTTTTTCAACACCATTTTGTATCGATAATTTTGTTTGAGTGCCGGTACAGTCTGGGTCAAAGGTTCATATGTAGCAGTTGGACCCCAAATGAGATGAAGCATTATGAGTGTATTGATCTTAAAATATCTATGGTTAGTCATTCCAAATAAAATATTTAGGTTTCCATAATCAGTACTGTAATGAGGAGCTACATTGTTAAATAAAGTATAACCTTATATGGAACATTTAAATTTCTGGCATGTCCCATGTTGTGCTTGAAGGGTTGGTCGAGGACTTGATAAATATCTTTTCGGATGTTACTTTGTCTTTTTTAAGGTATTCATTTATTTTTAATTTTGTATTTTGAAATTGTAAGATCATAGTTATAGAGTTAAATGTATGTAATACTGTAACTCTAAATCTTCAGTCTCTGAAGGAGCAAATATAACGCTTCAGTAACAAGTAGTTCTAAAATTATCATTCCATACAACTTTCTTTATAGGCTAAGAATGTACTTCAGTAATTCCTTACTTATTGAAAAATTGCATTTCATGATAATTTAAGCTGCAAAATTCAAATATTGTTTTATTAAAATCAAAACCAATGGCAATGAGACGGATCAGACCAAGTCAACTTTGTCTTTACGCTGATGGTAAATAACATACATCAAAAAATAAATTGAAAATTGTATTTTACATATGGTAACAGAATGAGTATGAAGGAGCCACGAAATTAGTTAAATCATAACATTCAACCAGATATTACACGTCATTAGTTCCAGGACAGGTACTGTATATACTTGACTAGATACACTGTATAGCGTTGTACCATGGAATGTGAGCGAGGCTTTCTTACTACACAATATCCATCAAGGATTTTGTTTACATTTTATAATAAATTACAAAAGTGCATCATAACCTTTTGTGTCTGTATAGAGATTGGGATTTCTTTTTACTAGTTTCACTTGAATCTGAGGATCACTTGACACTACAGTATCTTTTTTATAGAATGAAACTAATGTGTAGATGATTTCCCTTCATTCTTCAGTGGCTTTGATGCAATATTTGCAATTGGTACTAACAATAAGACTGTTGGTGGTAAGTAAACGAACCTAAATTCTAGGGTCACATGCACCTGGGCAGCGAGATAAGGAAACAAAAAGTTCTTTGGAGCTTTAGACCAACCACTTGGGAGGGTGACAACACACCTGGAGGTTGACTGTTCATAACACTTGTAATAGGAATTTAAAGTACGTATTAAAAAGTATAATTATATGGTATGAAAAACTGTATTTTCCTTATGCAGTATTTTTTTAAGTTTGTGGAACTTGCACAAATATATAGTACTTTACCTGTATGAGATGTTAAGTTTAATACACAATAATAATCTTGCAGGTAACCCAAGTTCTCTGAATTTAGTGTAACAAAAATTGTCTGGTTACATTGGGAGGTTCCTGTTTAATAAAACTGATGAGGTTTTTGTTTTTCATTGTTATTGTGTAACATTAATTAACATTTTTGGGCAGAGGTTGAGTAAATACTGTATACATTTAAATAAAGGAAAAATATGCTAAATTATTTCCTTGTCCTCACCATTAGGATGTTTTCACCAAGCAGACAGAGATTTTAAATCGAATCTAATTAAATTCATGAACTACTTTTCTGTTTGTCTGAAAATAGTAATAAATAATTGATTGTAACAGTTAAGTCACGATGATACTGTGAAACATTTGTATCATTGAAGCATGATACCTATGGGTGTTAATAGAAATTTATTGGTATTGTGATATAATTATAACTTGGTACAGTGTCACCATGTTGTCCTGATCTTCTCACTCCAGAAAATGTAATGCTCTCCAGTAAGATCCCACTTATCACGTAACAAGAATACGGCTTAATGACTTGACTGTCTTTATCGATCATTGGGATAAGAGGCAGCTTGTTTGTCTGTAAAAAAAAATAACTAATCAAATTGTGTATTCCAACTACTTCATTTCCTCTCGGTAAACATTCTTAAAGATGGAGGAAGTTCACAGAAACTGTCACAAAAAAAGCTCTATATTTAAGTCGCAAACCGTTCGTTTCTAGACATAATAAGTTTATATAATCTTCCACAACAAGAGGGCGGCACGGCGCGGCAGGTGTAACTTAGAAGGTGAAAGTGGCACAGTAATGCGCCGATCACTACCGGCATGATAGGGGTAGTGCCTAGGTCAGGAGGCCAACTCGCTACAAAACTGCATCCCCACCAACAGTCATCATGGTTCTGTGCCTCACTAGTCTTACTCATCGTGGCTGTTGTCCTCTGTAGGAACACGTCTACAGCAGCTGTGAGCAACTTTGTTGTTGTTTATTAGTGGAGTTGGTTGATGTCGGTGTGTGAGATTTTGTTTGTGTTGGATGTATGAATGTCCTAAATATCTATTTTATTGATTTTTTTTTATTCATCTTGGTCATTCACGTCAGTGCATGGTAGAATACACACTAGTTCTTCATGAGTATAGAGGGTTCACCTTACATATACCCTGTAAATTGGATGATGATTAGGAAAGACACTGTTTATCAACTCGGAGTGTTCCAGTAATGTTGAACTCGTCTTCTCTTTCCCAGGTATCCCATAGATCTTCTTCACGCCGACATGCTGCCAGTGAGTGTTAAACATGTGCTTGATGTACAGTTTGGAGAAAAAAAAACCGCATAATGAATCGTTAAATTAAATACGGCATTTTTCGTGTCTCATTTTGAAAACTTAAATAAATGGAGCCATTATTACTAACCACTTTGTATTCCTTGTGATGATCGTATCGACATTCACTTTGCTTTAAAATTGCCCGTATTTATAAATATTAATCATTGCCAAGGATGGAAGGAAACTCTAATGTGGTTTTCTTGTATAATATATAAGTTATATGATAGACAGTCTGGTGCTGGAGATGCCGTGTGGTGGGGAGCTGCTCAGTAGAAGACGTTCGGTGAGTAGCGTGTTGAAGGAGGTAGATGTGCAGGAGCTTCGTTAGAGAAGATGTTGCCTGTTGCTGGCCTCCTGGTTGAATAAATGTTAACATCTAGGAGCTTGCTGGAGGAGGTGTTGCTTGTTCAGGAAAATGGGCAGAATGAGAGTTGGTTGGTGAGGAAGCTCAGAGAAGGACAGCTGGTGGGTCGCCATGCTCGCTGGCGGGAGCGAGGACCGCCAGGCAGGCGAGGAGGAGCGAAGGGCTGCCAGGCAGCGGCGGAGGAGGAGGTGTTGCTTGTTGTAGAAGAATGGTCAGAATGAATCTCAATGGAGAGACAGAGCTTATATACCCAGCAGCCGCTATGAGTCATGATGGGAAAACCCGAGAAGTCGCCGGTGAATAGTTTCGTTGCTAAGATACGGTAACATCTGGGGACAGCTCTCGCTTGGTTGCTAGGCAACGGCACGTTGGAATGTGATAGCAGGTGGTGGCGGTGCTATGCAGTTTGTAGGGGAGACGTCCACTACAATACTCCCCCTTCCCTCCAGGCGGTGTAGGAGACTTGTTGTCTGTAGAGTTGCTTAGCACATGTGAGGCAGACCGGGCGGTGCATGCCTCATGTGAGACAACGGCGATGGCGTGATGAGCCGATCGCTGAAATACAACTGTCTAGATACACACTATCTGTGGGAGAAGGGAGAAAAAGGGTGTGTGGAGGCGATGAATGTTGTGCTTCCCTCACGACAGGTACAGGGTCGTCAGATGCGCCTGCTGGGGTGTGTGTGGGCCTGGGTCAGGAGCAGGGGCTGCGTCAGCAGAAGCGGATTAGGGCTCGTGACAGCAGCTGGGTCCACGACAGCAGCAGGGTGCAGGACATTAGCAGGGAGTGCCTGAGGGAGAAAAGAGGGGGTGTGGAGGCGATGGATGTTGTGTGCTTCCCTCACGGCAGGTACTGAGTCGTCAGATGCGCCTGCTGGGGTGTGTGGGCCTGGGTCAGCGTCTGAGGCAGGACGGGTGTGGGTCGTAGGATGTGGTGCTTGGGGCAGGAAGAGGAGCCGGTGTCTGCTTGAAGACTGGGAGCGTGATCAGTGTCTCCTCCATCCTGTGTGAGTGCTAATCTCCGGGAGTCACCATTTGTAGGGGTATCGAGATATTAATGTTGTCTAGCACTCAGGATGGAAGAAAACTCTAATGTGGTTTTCTTGTATAATATATAAGTTATATGGAGACAGTCTGGTGCTGGAGATGCCGCGTGGTGGGGAGCTGCTCAGTAGAAGACGTTCGGTGAGTAGCTTGTTGAAGGAGGTAGATGTGCAGGAGCTTCGTTAGAGAAGATGTTGCCTGTTGCTGGCCTCCTGGTTGAATAAATTTTAACAGCTAGGAGCTTGCTGGAGGAGGTGTTGCTTGTTCAGGAAAATGGGCAGAATGAGAGTTGGTTGGTGAGGAAGCTCAGAGGACAGCTGGTGGGTCGCCATGCTCGCTGGCGGGAGCGAGGACCGCCAGGCAGGCGAGGAGAAGCGAGGGGCTGCCAGGCAGCGGCGGAGGAGGAGGTGTTGCTTGTTCAAGAAGAATGGTCAGAATGAATCTCAATGGAGAGACAGAGCTTATATACCCAGCAGCCGCTATGAGTCATGTTGGGAAAACCCGAGAAGTCGCCGGTCTTTTGGCTCGGTTGCTAGGATACGGCGGCATTGGAATGCGGATACGCTTGGTTGCTAGGGAAGACGGTAACAGGTGGTGGCGTGGCTACGCAGTTGTAAGCAGTTGTAGGAGAGACGTCCACTACACCACCATTTGCCAGCCTAGCCATTCAGGCCTGTCTGTCTTTTTGAACAAAGGGCCGTATTCTCAGTTGTTACACCACCCGATCGATCAGGGACCGGACACCATCGGGTGAGGTCGTTCAGAGACGCCACAGTCCTGGTGGATCGAGTTTGCTATCGGGATCTTTGAAACATTTCATCGGGAGAGGGTACCTACCTGATGAAGTCCCAATGAATATAAAACCTTTTTCACCCTCCCAATTTTGATATATCAAGATAGAATATACTAAAAATTGAGTTTGTTGGTAACAAACTTTTGTTTCCATATTCAAAGACTGTCAGTTATTTACAGGTGTAAAATATCCCCGACTGATCATGGGTAAACAACACCGCGCCGTGTTGTTGTCAGCTGACTCGCTGTTTGCCAATCGTTGGCTATCTCAGTGTGGCCAACACCCGGTGAAATATAACCTTCAATACAAACCTCACAATCGCCAGAGAATAATAACAACTTCTCTATACCATAGTTATCCTCTTAACACTTTTATGTTTGTTTGGTCAGCTGAGTTTGTTTAGTCTGGGTTATTTTTTTTGTGTGTGTTTGAGGAAAATACTATTGGAGTACTTATGCCTGGGTAACTGGCTCATCCAGCATATATGGAAATATTGGTAGCCTGTAGTGGATTTCTCCCCTACAAACGCTGTTTGTCACTGAGTAGCTGACCCCACCAATTCCCCAGTGTATGCCTCGTGGTCTAGGTCAACCAGCGCCGCCATACATCACAGATCGGGGGTCAACTACTAAGCCACGCCTACCCCCGCTATTTAAGACCTGACCTCGTGGTGACCTGTCTCTTTTCTACCTACACCAACCATCCAGCAACACCTCCTCCGCTTGCCTGGCCGTCCTCTCTCCCGCCGGCGAGCATGGCGACCCACAAGCTGTCCTTCTCTGAGCGTCCTCACCAACCAGCTCTCTCTACATCACGCTTGTAACCATGCTGCCTTCCCAGCACCAAGCTGCATTGTACATCCAATACAACATGTATACAGAGAGCACATTGTGAGTTTCCTTTCTCCATCCCATCCTGAGTGTGAACCAAACATCCTGAACCCCACAAGCCCTTCCCGGTACATCGCGATCCCGATTCATCGTATTGCTCAAAGCATGTTCTTGAATGACATCGCCCCCACACTAGCTTATGGTGCCCGATAGCCTGGCGCACCATCGGGCATGACTGAGAATATGACCTTTTTTTTTTGTATGACGACCATTGTTATGTGTTGGCCATTTCAGGTTTTTAGCAAAATTTCGGGTAAGATGAGTGTTATTCCGGCTTACGCTAATAAAAGTGTTCATACCTGCAGTAGTTTTAGAAAAGTTGTTTACCTATCTAAGTAGGTACATTGTAAAGTGTTGAAGACTTATCAATTATGACACAACCCCGACGAGTTTCTGTAAGTAACAAATTGTGACATGTGTAACAGGGGTGGCGGGGAGCCATGAGTGTCGTCAGCCGCTGGAGGAGGTGGTGGTGGGTGGCGGAACCTCCCTCATCCTCACCTCTCCGAACTTTCCCGCCGCCTACGACTACCGCACCAAGTGTGGCTGGACCATCAGGGTGAGTGTGGGCTGTAATTTTAAGTTTAATGACAAAATTACTATATGGGTATAAGAAAGACTTTGTGGTGGAGAGCTGAAGGTAACGTTGGCTGTTCTTAAAATGTGTTCAGTTAATTAACATCGGATTTAAATTATCTCTAATCTGTGGTTAGACTTGACTATATTGAAATATATTTATTAAAATTGAATTACCTGTAAAAAAATAGAGGGATTTTAAGTGTTTTCTGTGGATCAATATGGTTTAAGAAGGGGAAATACGGATGTAAAACAATGTATCACTTGTCTTAGGCCAGAGTTAACCTAGCGTACGAGTATTCCAACTCCCAGTATAATCTATCCTTATTTAACTCCTAACTTAACATAATCTATTCTTACTTAATTCTTAAGCTAACCTTTTAACTCCCAAGCTAGCCTAATTTGACACTGGTTAACTCCTAACATAACCTGATCTAACATTTTGGCCAACTCCTAACATAACCAAATCTATCCTTAGCTAACTCCAAGCCTAACCCAATCTAAACACATTAACTAAATCTAATTTAATATATAGCATCGTACACCGGGCATAAAATATTTTATTAAACACAAGACAACTGAGGCCACTTTCATGTTTCATCCTCACCAGCCGACGAGCAGGAATGTGGTGCTAGCCCTTAGCTGTGACACCTTCGTCCTGCAGGAGCCTAGTAGTTCTGGGGAGTGTTCCGACTTCCTGAAGGTGCAGGGCTTCAAGTGAGTACCTCGACTCACAGAACGTACCTAACTGATATTGATTTGATAATGATATTGAAACAGTTAGTTTAGTCAGAAAAATACTGGCTGACTTAAAGCTAAAAATTAATCCACAATGCCATCAATATCAAAATGAGACTGACGTTCATTATGCACATTACATTTGAGTCTAACTGTTCATTTAGCGCTATTTAAAGAACAAAAGTTTTACGAATCCTGGTGTGTGTTGATAGTACCGTAATAGTAACATTTATTTAATTTTCCACCCACCAGGTACTGTGGAAGCAACATCCCGCTCTCCATCACCACCACCAACATCACAAGGTTCAGAGTCACCTTCAAGACTAACGGTCAAAAAAATTTCAAAGGGTTTCACTGTACTGTCAGGACTTCAAACCCCAACACTGACCACTGCTGTAAGTAGCTGCTGATACGGCGGCCAACCAAAACATTAATATGCCACTGCTATGACGCAAACATTTGATTAATATTGTATCTTTAATTTCAAAATATGTACAGTCGGGGTTGAAAGTCTTGAACACTCAGCAATATCTGGCGTCTACTTCTGAGTTAAACATATATGATTGTGATATACTAATAACACTACTTGTCATCACATATTATGCCTGAACCACAAAATTAATAAAATTTTCCTTAATACCTAAGATCTTCGGGTACTTACATGCCAAATACTGTCAAGTGTTCAAGACTTTTGACCCCGACTGTACTGTCACCCAAAAAAGTTCTGTCGCAAACCATGAACCCCGAGATTCAGACTCGTGAACCCGAAGCAGTAGACACTGATACATTATTCTGTCCATAAATGCTTCGGATTCAAGAGTCTGAATCTCAGGGTTCATGGTTCGCGACAGGACTTTTTTGGGTGACTGTACATTCCTCCATACAAATGTTTGCCGATGACGCCAAGTTATTTCGGGAAATCAAGAACCAAGCGGACTGTGAAGAGCTGCAGAAGGATCTCTGTGGGCTCCAAGAATGGTCGAAGAAATGGCTGCTGAGATTCAATGTCACGAAGTGTAAGAGGATGCACCTGGGGCGTACCAACGGTAAGCAGGCGCATCATATGTCCCAACGGGATGAAGAAACTGCACTAGTTGAGACTGAAGGTGAGAAGGACCTAGGTGTGTATATTGACAACGAGCTGAAGTTCTCGGGCCATTGCGAGAAGAAGGTAAATCAGGCAAATAAATTATTGGGTCTTATAAGAAGGTCGTTCAGATATAATAGACGGTCCGTCCCTCGTAACGATCTTCAGGAGTGAAGTGCTTCCCCATCTGGAGTACTGTCATCCCGTCTGGTCCCCAAGATATGCTAGGGACTGTCAGTTGGTTGAAAATGTTCAAAGGAGGGCCACCAGACTGGTGCCTGCACTACGGCACCTCAGCTACCCTGAGAGATTGGAGCGCCTGAACTTGCCTAGCTTATACTGCAAACGGGCAAGGGGTGACCTAATTGAGGTGTATAGCATCTCAAGGGGCACTACTCAGTCGAGTGTCCTTACTTGGAGCTGGCGAACGCTCGCCCCACAAGGGGTTACAGCTCAAGATTGAAGAAGCCGCAAGTCCGGAAAACTGCGAGGGCAAACTTTTTCGGAGTTAGGGTTGTGAACTCTTGGAACAATCTACCAGAATGTGTTGTGACGGCACCGAGTGTGAGCTCTTTCAAGACAAGACTTGACCAACACTGGAGTGGATTCAGGTACATTCCGGAGCCGGTGCATGCCCAGTACTTGCCAACAGTGCGTAACAGAGACGTGACCGATCGCCCAAGCGGCTAACGAGACGATCAGTGGTGAAGAGGATAAAAGTAAAAAAAGAGTAATTAATACTTGCTCCACCATATGTTTTAACGCACAATTTCGAGCATAAAATAATCTATTTAGATTTCGAACATCCATTCCTACACAAATTAACAAACATGTCTTTTTGGTGTGTGATATCGATCATTTTAACCTTCAGAACCTATGAAAGTTTTTAATATTTCAACTGCAACGCCTCCCCCAGCGTGTGGTGTGAGGGGCCAAGCGAGGAGCTCCCCGACTCAGGAGAGGGTAGGACATTGGGAATTCCCGTGGCTGGCGGCGTTAGTGAAGGCCAAGACCTCCATCCCCTTCTGTGGCGCCTCCGTCATTAGCGAGAGATGGGTCCTCACCTCTGCTGCCTGTGCGGAAAGGTTGGTTGGTGGTAGATTAAAGTCCACGGACAAATATCCCACGTCCTTAATCAATCCTAGGCAATGCTACCCTATCCAACCTAACCTAACCTAGACAACCCTAAGCCAAACTACCGGGTAATCTATCTTAACTTAATCTAGGAAAACTTACTGTAAGTTGAACCTAACTTAAACGAAAGTAGCTGAACCTAGTCTAGTCCATAGAAGTTAAACTTAACCAGACCCATTTTAACATGTTGTCTGAACAGAGAACTGTTTATTGGAGGCGATGGTGGTTGAATGACATGATCAAACCAACAAAACCAAATGTGACCCAGCCTACCTCAACCTTACCTGCCTGAACACAGAGTCTGACTTATGGGAATTTCTTTAGGCAGGTTTGTTCGCTTACCGCTGGCATATATTTTTTTTTTTTGTAGAAAGAGAAATGATCTTAAAATAGCGTACTTTTAATGAAAGCGATATTCATTATTGTTATTCATCTTAAGGGTCTTAAGATAAAAACATATAAATACTGTAAATAGAAGTTGATTTTCTTATATTTAGCTTTCTCGTATCCCTGTTGTAGGGTCAAGTACAACAAATATAACTACGAAGTCATCGTTGGTGGGCACAACCTGAGCGTGACCGCGCCAGGGCAGACTGGACAGCCCATCAGGAAGGTCTTCATCCATCCTCGATACAACTCAGGTTTGTATGTGTAAATAAACTCCAGCTCTTTTGATAATCATGCCTATGTCAGTTACTTACTTACTAATAGCTATTTTAATCCGGAGATCATGAGACAGTGGCGGCCAGAGTCGTTAAAGGCAAGGCCACATTTAATGGTGGTGGGTGGAGGAGGTGCGTGCAGGCTGAGTAAAAGATGCCGGAGGTGCGGGGGGCATAAGTTGCGTGTGATCCCCGGGCTGATAATATACTGCACGTACTATGGTGCGGGTAGTGGGAAAATACCATAGGGGTGGGAGAGAACGCACAGTAACCTTGTGTCAATGATTTATCCGAGAATTACTTATGCAACGCCCACATTTCCTCTTATGCCGCCACTATCGTAGGGTAATAGAACGTTATTCTCATTAACTACTAGACCGTTCACTAGCTCATCTCCTTATCTACATTAATACACCCAGCTAACGTCCTCCCATCTACACATTACTTGCAGTTTATCGCGGTGTGTTGAGCAGTATCTAAAATCACAGTCAATTCAGTTTCAATTACCCTGTTTAAAAATATATTACAGTGCAAAATTTATGTATACGGTACAGTTGCAGTATAAGTCTTTGTGGTAAAAGTTATACAGAACTACAGTAGCGTCTCGGCTTAGTTATGCTGTGGATTTAAATTTATATGAATTGTCTGCCTAACACATTTCTAGGTGACGCCATCACTGACAACAACGTCGCTCTGGTGCAGCTTAAGGAGGTCATCGTCTTCAGAGGCAGCAGAATGGGCGTCGTGAAGGAAGGTCCTCTACCAGTGTGCCTCCCAGACCTCGATGCCCACACCAACCTCACCAGCTACAGGGCCATCCTCACGGGTTGGGGCACAGGTGAGTTTATGACGATGTTGATTTCATGATTATGGGATGTTTCGTCTAAAATAAATTAACCTTTGTCAATTTAACCCCAAACTTTTCCTTTCTGTACGTGTTGTGTTGTGATACAAGGCTTCTACTTAGAATTGTTTGGTTTCAATTATCAGTGATTCTTACGTTAACAATATCCCACAATTTATGATAACTAAATGCATTTAACTGGTTAATATAAGAGACGACATAGAGGTGGCACTGAAACTCGATGGTAACTATACAAAACGTACATTTTCAGGGCAAATATTATGTTAATTTTTTTGATAATCCTGTGGTGTTATTATACGTGTCTTGACAAAAGTGTTAAATGGTGTTCCAGGGGAGGAGACGACCGGTGTGGTGAGAAAGGTGGTGGTGAGGACCATGAATGGGAGCACATGCTTACAGCGTTACCAGGGACATAATGTGAGCATCAGTGACTCCTCCCTCTGCGCCGCCCCCGTCAGTGAAACCCACAGGGACTTTTACAAGGTGAGTTATATGGTTTAATTATTGTTAGATGATGTTAATTATTGTTAAATGATGCTAATTATTGTTAGATGATGTTAATTATTGTTAAATGGTGCTAATTATAGTCAGGTGGTGTTAAACCTGTTAGATGGCGCCAAGTATCGTTACCCCTCACTTTTATTTACCCTAAAACGTTATGATTTCAATTTAAGGATCAGTACAGTACCTCTAGGCTTCTGAACATGTTGATTCAGGTTCTGGGAATAAAAACCTAGTAATTTTGTAGTAAGTTCTGCTATATGTATTTCTAAATAGTTTTAGTTGACAAAATTTTCGTTTTGCTCACAATACCATCAATGTAACCCATTTTTATTTCTTTTTTGTTCACAGTACAGTACTAACAATAAATTTTTCTAGTTAATAATAGATTGTGCTGAAAATATCGCCTAGATAAGTTATGGAGATGTTAATTCACTTCCAGGCTGAGCTCGGCGGGCCTCTGGTGAGGGTGAGGGAGGAGGGTGGTGGAGAGGGCCGCTACCAGCAAATCGGGGTGGCCTCCTTCAGCGACGCTTCCAGCCGCTACCCTCACCAGGCACCAACACTGCCAGGGGTCTACACCAATCTTGCTCGTGAGTTATTTCTTCCCCAAGGCTTCATTAGGACGTTTTTGTTTTTTAAGTTCCCTTTCTATTATCTTTCTGTTAGTTTAGAGGTATGTATGTATGTATGTATGTATGTATGTATGTATGTATGTGTGTATGTATGTATGTATGTATGTATGTATGTATGTATGTATGTATGTATGTATGTATGTATGTATGTATGTATGTGTGTAATAATAATAATAATAATAAACGGTTTATTAATAGAGTTGCAGCCGGTGGCTGAAAATATACAAACTTACATGTGATTTAGACATAATGATATGCATTCAATACATTTACAGGGCTGTACAATATATAAATCAGGAGTTGTTTATTATTCTAACAATAGATGGGATATTGCTATTCTTATAACTATCGGTGCGGGCTCTTATGGGCTGAATTTTGTTGTAGTGGCGGACTGTGCGAGGTGGGCTGGGGACTGCCTGTCGCAGTAGGTGGCGATGAAGAGGATGGTGCAGTAGTCCACTGCCAATTCTTTCCAGTGCTTGGTGGTGGAGGTCACTGAGGGATGACATTTCCAGGGTGGAGAGAGCGTTGTTGTAGCCAGAGTAGTCTGTGCTGAGCATGATTCTGCAGGCCCTTTTCTGTACTTTCTCTAGCTGACGTTGTTGGGTAGAGTTGAGAGAAGACGACCAGGCTGGTGACGCTTACGTTAATTTGGGGAGAATAAAGGCGTTGTAGATGGTCCTCAGCTCTGGCGTGGGTGTCCCAAGTGACCTAAGTCGTCGTAGCATGTAGAGTCGGTAGGAGGCCGCCTTGATTGTGTTGTTTACATGGGCCTTCCAGTTCAGTTTGTGGTCTATGGTAACATCCAGGAGTTAGTAGACTGCACTAACTGGAGAGGATGGGCACCCATTGTGACTGCTGGAGCTTGCACTGGAGTGGTGGCGGTATTGATGTGCATGACTACGGTTTTGGTGTAGTTGATGGTGACCTTGATCTCCATAGTCCATGCCTGTAGCCTGTCCAGGGTGCCTTGTAGCGATGAGTAGTCCGGTGCGGTGTTGTCCACTGTAACCCCAACAGTGCAGTCATCCACGAACTTCCACCTGTGAGGAGTGTCCGATAGAGCGTCGTTCGTCAGAATCAGGAAGCACAGTGGTCCCATCTTGGTCCCCTGGGGAACACTGCAGGTGAGGTGTTGGAATGTGGAGACAGAACCCTGATACCTCACTGCCTGACGATGCTCACTCAGGAAATCAGTGAGCCATGAGACCAGGTTGGTGGGCAGCCCTAGTGCAATGGCCTTGTTGATAACAGTACAGTGATCAACAAGGTCAAAAGCCTTCCTGAAGTCAACAAGGGCAACGGCCAGTGATGTCTTACGTTTCTATAGGTTTTTGTGCAGGAAATCCAGGAAACTAACTAAGCAGTGTGATGTTGAGGAGATCCTCATATTGCCAAATTGCAGTGGATCAATTGACTGATAAATACTAGCAAATGCCCACTCAAAAACAAAGTGTGTGTGTGTGTGTGTGTGTGTGTGTGTGTGTGTGTGTGTGTGTGTGTGTGTGTGTGTGTGTGTGTGTGTGTGTGTGTGTGTGTGTGTGTGTGTGTGTGTGTGTGTGTGTGTGTGTCTGTCTGTCTGTCTGTCTGTCTGTCTGTCTGTCTGTCTGTCTATTTGTCTGTCTGTCTGTCTCCACAAAGGTTTTTCTCAACGAATTAATCGGCTTAGCCAAAGGCCTCGCCACTGACACACTGTACAGTATATACCTTTCAGTCTATAAACACAATTACTCGTGTGACGTAACTAGCTCTAAGTTAAAGTTGTTATTAAGATGGCTATTAGGTCTGTTTTAATATTTGTAAGTTAAGAGTTGTTGTTGTTAAGAGTGACTTGCATCCTCAGCTTACCTCCGCTGGATTACAAACACTGTTGGTCTAGACAACACCTGCCAGTAGATGATCTCTCTCACCTCCCAACGGGCGAGTGTTCGACACGTTAAGGCTCCGACCAACGAGTGTCCTACACGATGCGTCATAGCCCATCCGACCAGCATCGATGCGTGAAAATCCTGTCCTACCAAACAGCTGATTTTTTCCCTTACTGACAGAGAAACATTCCAGAAGTACAATTTTCTTCTCGAATTCAGAGGATTGTTCTTGATGTTTCATATAACGTGAAATAAGGCGATGTGTTTTCCTTTTTTTCACATAAATGTTAATTTTGAGAGATATTGTATAAAAAATGGGAAATTATTCAACACCAAGCGAGTGAGTGAGGGTGAGTATTAAGTGAGTGAGGGAGAGTAGGGAGTTAGTAAGGGAGAGATGAGAGGAGTGAGTGAGGGAGAGGTGATAGTAGGTTAGAGAGAGAGTGAGGGAGAGGAGGAAGTGAGTTAGTGAGTGGGGGGGGGGGTGAAGGAAGCTCGGGAGAGGTGAGGGGAAAGTGAGAGTTAAGGAAGGTACTGTGAGGTGAGAGGGGAGTGGGGGAAATGAGAGGGTGAGAAGTGAGAGGGAGGAAACAAGAACCCCTTCCAGCTTACTTTCCTCCGGTCAAGTGAAGATCTTTCTAAGTGTTGATATTAAGTATTATTTATAAGTAGAGACGAGTTAATATTAAGTACTAAGGTAAATAAGTAATGTACTGTAGTTATATAATGTCTATTGGTTGTAAGTATTAAGTAACTAAGTATCCCTGTATTAGCATAACTAGTAACACTGTAAAGTATAAGTATTGAGAAGTTACTCATTGTGCTACAGCTACTAATGTAGTAAAAAAAATTAAGTGTTAAGTAGATTAATTTTTACCTCATGTAATCTGTCTTCTAACTTAGTAAAATCTAAGTATTAAGTGATATAAGTATTATCTGTTGTTTATTTTAATCCAATAAACATGTGTATTATTATTTAGTATTTTCAAGTAATATACAATGAAGTATTTCTACTAACCCTGGTAAATTTTAAGTGTTTAAGTAATTTAAGTAATGAATGTTGTTCTGTTACAACTAAACCAATAAAATCTAAATACAAGATATTATTTAAATATTGCCTACTTTACTGTTTCTCTTGACCCAGGAAATATAAGTGTCTGGAGACGTTAAATGTGCCTCGTGTGTTTCACCTAAAATGAGTGCCGGGACTGGGATGGCCTAGGAGCTGTCAACCAGGCCAAGGAAGAGGTCAGGCAGTTGAAGAGAGCCGTGAGTGCCAGTCCACACATCTAAGAACCAAACAGACTGTGAAGAGCTATAGAAACTCGGCTGTATCACTTTTGACTAAACCCCATTTGGGTTGTGGCAGTCTACTGTAGGTTGCCCCACCTGCTATCCATTCAACGTGCGGCAAGAGTGTGATGTTACGTATCTGCAGAAACATTCACGGCGCTTTTTTCAAAGACTAAGGCTGCTGCTGTATATGTGTCTCCTGATTCATTCTTCTGAACGCACACTCCTCGCTGCCTGGCGCCTTTTGCCTGTGGCGTCCGCGCCAGCGGTGTCTTGGTTTCACCAAAACTTCATTCTGCCCATTTTCTAAGCACTTAGCGTCCTAGCTGTTAACATTTATTCAACCAGGAGGCCAGCAACAGGCAACGTCTTCTAGCTCCCTCTATCTTCAAACCGCATCAAACGTCTCTGAGGCTCCTACCATGTAAATATACCAGTTGTACTAAGAGGTGATGTTATAGAATGATATGGTTTTCCAAGGTTAATCCATTGAACAGCTGGGAATAGAAGTAAGAGGAAAATATAATAAAGAAATACTGACATTGAAAGACATATAGAAGAAGTAGAAAAGAAAGATAAAAAATATTGAAGGAAATAAATAAAAACATTGAAAGAAATACTCAGAAAATAACTTAGAAAAGAATTAGCAAGTAGATCAGAAAATACAAGATAATATAACTTAAGAAAATTAAATACAGTTAAATAATTTACAGTAACAGAAAGGAAATGGAAATTAATAATTATAAAAATGAACCTCTTACAAATACAATATTCTCAACTGGTGTAATTTTTATCTCTGCTAGGCAAGACCTTAGACCTAAAGCAAGCCAGGTGAGGGTACAGTGAGAAGATGTTTTTGAAGAATCCAAGTGGTGTAAAATTAAATTAAAGGGAGGAGACTTACTTTTTGTTGGGTGTATCTACAGATCCCCAAACTGCAGCTTACCAAACCAAAGGACCTAGAGCCTTAATAGACAACGCAGAGAGGCTCAACCCTAGCCACCTCCTTATCATGGAAGACTTTAACTATGGCGACATCGACTGGAGAAATGAGTTCACGCCAAATGACTTAAATAACCCTGCTACTCTTTTTGTAGACACTTTTGAGAGATAATTTTCTGTTCCAACATGTTAGAGACCCGACACATTACAGAGGAGAGCAAACACCCAAACCACTGGACCTCATCATAATGAACGAGGAGGGTATGGTGGCCAAACTGGAACACCTAGCCCCAGTTGGCACCAGCCACTATGTAATGCTGTCCTTCAGGTTTAACTGTTACTCATTTCAAGACAAAATCAGGCCAAGGTGTAAATATTACAAGGGCAATTACGACGGGATGAGGAAGGAGATGAGGGGTATCCACTGGCCTGACTCACTAAGGCATAAGAATGTGGCCACTACACTAAATATCATAGCTAGTAAAATGAACCATTTGATCGAGAAATACATACCCAAGACCAAACCCAGTGCCTCTAGGAATACAAAGGAGACCGCTACACATGAACTCTGCGGCGGTCGACAAAGTTAAGAAGAAACCCCAGAAATTCAAGAATTGGGTTAGGTCAAACGATGAGCGGGACAGGAGGATGTATGCAAGAGCCAGGAACCAAGCAAAGGCAGAGTGTAGAAGGGCTGAAAAGGAGTTCCAGAGGCTGGTTGCAAGCGAGGTCAAGTCAAACCCAAAGGCGTTTTACCGCTATACAAAGTCGAAATTAAAAACGGGAGTAGGAGTATCGGACCTGAGGCTTGAAGATGACAGTTACGCAGATTCTGACCAGGACAAAGCTGAGGCATTGAACAGCTTCTTTTCCTCTGTGTTCACAAGAGAGGATGTGAACAATCTTCCTATGTTTGAGGACAGACAGTACGACACAGCACTGACCCACATTGTGTTCACAGAAGAGGGTATAAGAAATAAACTGTCCAGGCTAAAGGTTCATAAGAGTCCCGGCCCTGACATGGTGCATTCTAGAGTGCTAAGAGAGTTGTGCAATAAGCTTGCTGGGCCCCTGAAGATCCTGTTCAGTAAATGCCTGGATGAGCGAAAGGTCCCCAGTAATTGGAAAGTGGCTTATGTGAGTCCTATCTTCAAGAAGGCCTATCGTCACTCCACGAACAACTATAGACCGGTTAGGCTGACCAACATAGTATGTAAAGTACTTGATAGTATTATAAGAGCTGTCACGATGGAACATCTACTACGAAACAACCCTGTAAACTTACTAGTGTAAAGGATTGCCAACACGGTTTTACGCCGGGGCGCTCCTACTTAACACAATTACTCAAGGTATTGGATATTTGGACCCATATTCTGGAACAGGGTGGTAACAGGGTGGTAACGATCTTCAAGAGTGAAGTGCTTCTCCATCTGGAGTACTGTCACCCCGTCTGGTCCCCAAGATATGCTAAAGACTGTCAGTTGGTTGAAAATGTTCAAAGGAGGGCCACCAGACTGGTGCCTGCACTACGGCACCTCAGCTACCCTAAGAGATTGGAGCGCCTGATCTTGCCTAGTTTATACTGCAGACGGGCAAGGGGTGACCTAATTGAGGTGTATAGCATCTCAAGGGGCACTACTCAATCGAGTGTCCTTACTTGGAGCTGGCGGACGCTCGCCCCACAAGAGGTCACAGCTCAAGATCGAAGAAGCCGCAAGTCCAGAAAACTGAAACTTTTTCGGAGTGAGGGTTGTGAACTCTTGGAACAATCTGTCAGAAAGTGTTGTGTGAGTTCTTTCAAGACCAGACTTGACCAACACGAGCAGGTTCAGGTACATTCAGGAGCCGGCGCATGCCCAGTACCCGCCAACAGTGCGTAACAGAGAGCCAGTACATGCCTAGTACTCAGGGCCGGATTTACCTACTTGTGGGCCCCAGGCCAAAATCATCAGTGGGCCCCCAAATTTATAGAAATGTTTGCATGTTTCATTGATCAATATATACAGTATATGTATATATATATATATATATATATATATATATATATATATATATATATATATATATATATATATATATATATATATGTATATATATATTAATTATTTATTTTTTATTTTATTTTTGTCCACAAGGGGGCTAGTTATTGGGTACCCCCTTGTCAACCATGTGCAAGGTGAAGCGCAAAAGCGTTTACAGCGCCATTATAACGTTAATATCAAATTATACCACTCAGTTTATTATACTCAGTGAATACATATAAAGCGTTATAAATCAGTGTGGGTCCTAAAGAGTATCAAACAACTCAAAGTTTAAAAAAATACCAAGTTGAAGTTACAGCGAGGAATGATTTTCTGGATTTAGTATCTTAACCACTTATCAGCTTACTATCCGGTCTGGTAATCTGTTAATATATATATATATATATATATATATATATATATATATATATATATATATATATATATATATATATATATATATATATATATATATATATATATATATATATTTATAATGTTCTTAGGAATTTGTCTTTAAACGCGAATTCTACGTTAGTGCTTATACTAATCATCAAGAAAAATACAACTCACTTTATGAGTTAATAAGTACACTTGTTACGTATAAAAGACTCCGTTGTTAATATAAGACATTGATGAAGTATACAGGAGCAGGTTGTGAGGCGTTGCGTCAGCTGAGTGAGGTGTAAACATGGAGATGGCTGACCCACTGGACGACGTCTGTTCCCCTGAAGACTTGAAGGTCAGTTGGTCTGTATTACAACTTCACTGACACAGCAAAGGGAAATTGTACTAGACGTAAGAATTATATTGAAAATGTCAGGTAAACGGTAACGGATATTGGTGCGGAGTTATGACCATGACTCACGACTAATAACGTGAGTTTTGCCATACGTGCAGGACATCAGTAATGGAAGAGTATAAATACTTCATGTTAGGAAGGTGGTAAATTAGCAGATTACAGCAACCAAAGAATCTAACATACAATATAACCAAATCAAACCTTACCTAACCCCTTAGCCTGGGGCTCCTCCCCCGGACCCCGAGAGTGTAATACAGTATAAGAAAATGATCATAGTAAAAGTAGTTCTGTCAAGTGAGTGCAGTGAGTTTCCTGGGTTCTGTGGTTGCTGTTTACTGCAATATTACCTGAATGGTTTGTGTTCTTGTAATTTGCTGAATTGTGTTTTCAACGGACTGTCCTTGGGTGTGTGACTTCCGTTTGGGTTAGGTAAATATTTCGGCAAAATTATCACTAAGTAGGTATTATTTTACATTAAGACATCGTGTGCCCGAAAGTTTAGTGAAACATTTAGATCTCCTTATTCTGAGCATTTTGAACCCCATATATATAACTGGCGGAAATGGATAATAGCGACAGAATTGAATTTAATTGATTTTATGTAGTTTTCAGTCTTCGTCTGTGAGGAGATGTTATCGGCACATCATGCAGGCACAATATTGACTGATGTCATCCAGTCGTGAATGATGTATCGATATCATGCGACTTTTTTTGACCAATCACATTTGACTTTTTCAAAGGAAGCAGCCTGGGTAATTTCATTGACCAGTCTCACAATGGCCGTAGTGGAGGTTGGTTGTCATTTGTGCTCCTATCATTATTTAAGTTTATTGCCGAGTTTTACGAGAAGGCGATCATTCTGTCCAATTCTTACGTATCCCTGGTCCTTCCACTTCTAAGGTACTATTGTATGTTTGGACATGGTGCATAGAGTCTTAAACTACTGAAACATTTAGGTTAGTTTAAGCTAGGCCTACCGGGGGTCCGGTGGCGGAGCCCCCGGCTAGGGGTTAGGCTAAGTTTTGTTAGGTTAGAGGACTCGTTTTCGTTTTCTCCCCCACCCAAAATCCGATTTCCCAGGCTCTCCCCCATTATTGTTCACATTGTTTCAGCATACTGAATACATAGAGTACAGGTAAATACTGTACATACTCGTATACAGTGCAGATATACACTGTACATAGATGTGAACATATATAATGGGTCATTTTTGTTTACCACCCATCACATTTTTTCACATAGAAAATATTGTTGGGGTGGGCTGGAAAGAAGCGGGATAACTTAGAAAAATAAATTAAAAGTGATTTGCCCCATAGATAAGTGTCAGAATCATCTAAAACAACAAGAAAACTATCGAAAAAATATATTTTTCATGTGATAAAGGGTGATGGGTGGATAACGAAAAATGACCGTCTTGGGTAGCCTGAGAAATGCTATTTGGTAATGGTGTAAGAGATGGTTAACACCAGTAGTTATTCAATTTCATTAATTTTTCCATAAATGTTGTTTGGGTGATAGTGATAAAAACGTAGTGGATATTTTTCCGTGACCGGCTAAGTTCCTACTAACACTATTTTACGGTGAGTGCGCTCTGAATGGCTTAGTACTTTCTGTTTAATATGATTAGTAGGAAGTTAGATAAGGTGAGGAAGGTTTCTTTAGTTGGGTTAGGTCAGGTTCTAGTAAATGTTGCCTCCTTTATAATGATAGTTTCCATGCATAACAGAAATATGGTTAGGTGTGTTTACAGCTACACAACGATTGACTCACGGCAAAATAAATGCCAAATGCTGCCAGAGTTACAATCAAATGTAGTTCTCGCATTGTTCACTGGTAATAGACGATTAGGCAATCAGAGCGCACTCACGGTAAAATAGCGTTTATAGGACGGCCCGTCACGGCAAAATATCTACTGCCTAATAAAAGCGGTGAAGGTGGAGGGCCGTTATCACCAGAAGGACTTATGGAATTGCACCAAATTTTCAAGAGGTGTTTGAATGATACTGAGAAATGAAATCGAGGCGACAACATTGTAGTATTTTTTCTTTTTAGCTTTTCCTTTGATCTTAAATAATTTGTTAGTGGGCAAGGCTTGAAAGAAGAGGGAAATAGCAGGGTAAAAACACTGCAAACACTGATCATATGACAGTAATTTCACATCTCTGTGTTCCTTTGTAGGGGAAGAAATAATATTTAATGTAATTATGGCACCGTCAGATTTCTTGTGCTGACCATGTTTTGGTTCACGTCGTCTGCTATGTAGACGCCCGCGGTCTTTCTTTACATGACAAGAAATGGACACCGATCTCATTGGGCGTGTTTATTATAATTTATATTGCATTCAATTCATATATTTTTCTAGAGATGTTGTTTGAGTGATAGTAAGAAAAATCGAAATAATAATGTATAGGTTAGGGGAGTTGGGTAAGGTATATTGTACTGTACATATATATAGCATGTGTAGATTATAATACATTACACTGTACATTAAATATAATATTACATAGAGTAAATAAATATTTTCAATTTGTTACTTTGTGTAAGAGACAAAATATAATTGCCAGTAACTACTGTAACATATTATTATACTCTGACTTGTTCTGTTTCAGGGTTTTGAAAAAGTTTACAATGAAGAATTATGTAAAGGTGAAGTTTCAAGCAAGGCACAATTTAATTATGCTTGTTTTTTAGTTCGCAGCAAGTAAGTAAATTATTTTTCATAGTACTGTACTGTACTATAGAGTAATCATTATAGTATTTCCACGCTAACCTGGCCCATAAACCACGCCCTTCTTCTATACTAATAGCTGATTGGTTCACAGAAAATTCAAACTAATTGTGTTCACAACTGGTAAGCAGACCTGTTATTATCAAAAATAATGTTAAATATCTCGACTATCAAAATGCAAATGATTTCAAGGCATTAGCACTTCAGAGAGGATGTTAGAGATTTTAAATATATATCATAAAAGGTCGATATAAATAGATGCTTATATATGCGCAGTTATGGGAGAGGTAGAACGCTCCGGGGAGCCAATCAGTTATTTGTAGCTATAGACGAGGGGCGCCCCTGCCAGGTTAGCGTAGAAAGGGTATAGGTTTTGTACATTTTCAGAATCCTCTACACTTACTGTGGAATAAGCATGTCATTTGGGCATTCTGGATTGTGGTACTGTACTGTACAGGTATCCCTTGTTTAGCATTAATTTACGTAATGTTAATTCAGTTTAGTGAAAAAAATTTATATCCTTTTCCACTTAACGTCAGGTTAATATTCGGTTTAGCTATACCGTGACTCACTGGGTAGGGGAAAACTGGAGATGAGGTGGCCTGTGAGAGGGCACGTTGTCATTGTTACACGCGGTGAAACTATAAAAGATGTAGAAAAATCATTGCAATACAATACTCTAATGTGGCTTAGAAATAAAGAAAATATAATATAAAACAATAAATTAAAAAACTGAAGAGCTTCGATATGTATGTGTGAGAAGTGAACATATTTGTGGAGGTAATGGGGTGAAACTGTATTGCCAGCCAGTAAGCCCAGTTGCATCCCTTCCCTGATGTGACAGCCTGGCGTACATACAGCAAGGCAGCAGCTCCATGTCTTCGAGTCAGCTGGGTGACTGCCCGGTTGAACTGTGTTGCATCACTTAGAGGATGGTTTGAGTGTGGAAGGAGCTATTTTTTATACACAAAAATCGTGCTATTGTATTGTATGATATGCCATGTATCAATTTTTGTTTATTATAACAATTTTTGTTCATTTTGAAGTATGCAATATGAAATTTGTTCGAATTAGGCTCACTTGTGCTCACAAAATTGCTTAACTCTGAACTGCATAGAACTTTGATGTTAATAAATCAAAATTGTTTAACTTCCAAACTGTTTATAACAAACTCATTTATTATTATTATTATCAGGGAGTACAGTACAGTACTCGGTGTTTACCTCCCTGCCGTTCAACCTGTTATCTGCCCTTAGTGTTTTGCTTTTATCCCTCATTTAGCGATAATTTTTTGAATGTTAGGTTTTCAAAAACACAACCCCATCATTAAACATTGAGTTGTGCCACTTTAGGAATGTAGCAAGACTTGTTTGACTTTTCATGCCAAATTTACCCTAGTTGTATTAATCTCTCCAGTCCCAAGGCACTTGTGCATTTATGTAACTTAGGTTATGAATAATTAAGAAAAGACAGATTCTGAAAATGTGTACCTGTACAACATTCACTTTGTTTTGTTTTGTTCTTTTCCAAATCTGATTATAACACAGTACACATATCCCTTAAACTACGTGGGCTTAAACGATGCGGCCGTTGCCCTTTGTGGATTGCACTACGGGTTGCATGGGGAGCAAGAGAGGTTGTGTACATGCATCTGACAACTTATCACTACTGGCCGCGAAGGGTCTCTACAGTGGGGGAGGAGAATTGCACACTTCCTCGCCCCCACTGTTACCCACACTGCCAGCCTGCAAAGAGTTCTGTTGTTTACATATCCCTTACCCTACCACCTTCCCCTACTCTCACCATGCCTCATAAATGCCCTACCCCTGCTGGAGGTTATCAAGGCTCTATTGGCAAGCCTGCCAAGGTGAGGAAGGTGCTGATTATGGTGGTATGAGCTATGCTGCCTGTGGTCGCCATTATGGCATGAATGAGTTGAGCATTTGCTCTTCCCTGGCTCATCTGCCTCCCTTCCAGAGGCAGATAAGAATTAATTCTCATTCAAAACATCATCATCACCACCAACTTATCAACAGTATCATCATTCATCACATAATCATCATAGCAGGGGGAGAGAGGCCACACTGTGATGGTAACAACTTCATATTTTTATCCATTGTGAACTTTGTTACTTTACATTAACTGTTCAATTCATTTTGATGTATTTCAAACATCTGGAGTATTTTATTTTTATTTTTTGTCAATTTTGGCTTCCTGTAGGTGAACATGGCCATTTTGGGTCTGAGGTTTCCATCAACCTAACCCGCGTGTTGCTTAAGGGATATGTGTAATGCATTTAATGTTATAAATGTTCCCTGTTTTTTGTAGAATCGACTAGAAATTTGTTTTTAAAGATTGCCTTAAATTAATCATTTCATGTGTTTATAAAAAAATATCTTATTTATATATGAGTTATTTTTACACATCAATAACTTATCTGATTTATGGTGTGCCATTGTTAGATACCCAGCAGACATCCAGCGTGGGGTTGTGCTGTTGGAGGAGCTCTACAAACACCCAGATGAAATTGGTAAACGAGACTACGTGTACTACCTTGCCATTGGGAATGCTCGACTGAAGGTATGGATTTTACTGTTTTTATGTACCATTCCCTCTGGGAGAGTCTATCTGAGTGTAGTGTAGGTTCTCTCTTTAGCTCTACAGGTATACTTCCTCTTTATCATCATTTCTGACTTAGAAGTACCTTTATTATATACCTAGCTATCATTTGAGTCACCTGGCCCTACCTCAATTATAAAATGGGGTGGCAGAATCAGCCCTTCATTTTTCTTGTTGTGAATTTTATTTTTGTTTGATATACTGTACAGCAGGCATGGGCAACCTTTCTTCAGTCATGGGCCTCATTTCGATTTAAGTATTTTTCATGTGAGCCAACCCGCCAAGATTTATAGCCTACCTAACCCAAAAGTAATGTTAATATTGTATTAGCGCAGACAGTGAAACGGTTTATTGTCACGTCCACCTTATGATATTTTCAGTTTACAATCAAAGTCTTTTTCCCATTTATGACACAAATCCATCATAATAATTGTTTAAGTAATATGTTAATGTTTCTTGGCATTTACCAGAAGGTGAGTGAGGCTGTCTGAGAATACCTTGACTTTTCCTACAATTTCAGCATTTTTCTTACTTGTGAGACACCCACCAGAATATGGAGAGAGACAGTCTACCAACAATGAAGAGACCTATACCTTTGACCCGTGTGACCACCGCCCGTGACCCCACTTGGACTTACCCAACCTTAGTTAATTCCCAAGTGACCCACTGCCACATAGCAGCTAATCCATCAAACGGGCCGTGCCGAGGCAGCCCGTAAACTCAAATTAAAATATTTATATTGTTAACTATTTATACTTATTTTACTGTTGCGTTTTCATAGTTCTACTCTTAGTTGATGAAACAGTAACAAATTGTATGTGAATATTATTCTTTTAATAAATATTGCTTTACTCACAGAAGCTGGCTGCATCTACCGACGCTGGTTATATTAAATAGAATTTCTCAATCACTCTGCGGGCCATACAAAGAAATGGTTCGGGCTGCGGTTTTCCCATTCCTGCTGTACAATTCAGGGCCCCTATAAATTTATGGGATTAGGATATCAAATGGCAGTGAATCGCCAAATCCATGAATAACATTTAAGACCGAGGGAGGGCTACATTTTTACTTGTGTACAAGAAATGTATATTCCCTTTGTGTGTTAGACCTTAGGACAATTATTTCTTTTACCTGTACTGTATTGTATATATATATATATTGTGTGTGTGTGTGTGTAGACTCAACAAAAACACTTAAATAAATAATAATGGAAAATTCTAAATAATAAGTAACAAATTTATAAAAATGTGAGTCTACCTCAAGTCAATACTTTATTAATAAGTAATAAAACACGGACTTGAGGGTAGACTCTCACATTTTAATAAATTGTTTGACTAATGAAGAATTTTCAATTATTTATTTATATGTATTTGTGTGTGTGTCTACACACACACATACTATAATACAGGTAAAGTATTGTCTCTAAACAGAATGGCTCTGTCCCAGCCACGAAAATGCCGGCAACTTTAAAGCCATACACAAACATTCTTGGGTACATCTAGGGTGTCATCCGTGAATAATAGAGGACATGATATAAAAATCTGCGAACTTTGGGGGCCTATATGTTTTTATGGCATAATATGCCAATCATTTGATGGTTTTAGAGAGTTAACTGTGTACCTTGTATTGCAGGAGTACCAGATAGCACTGAAATACCTGAAAGGACTTCTGCGGGTAGAACCATCAAATCGACAAGTTCTTGAACTTGAAGCGAGTATTAAGAAGAGAATGGAAAATGGTGAGTTTTTCAAATTAGAGTTTTTGCCCTGATAAAGACAGTAGTGGCTTACTGGATATACAGCACAGCTCTCATTGGCTTCATGAAAACCGGCATTGTATATTGTATATCCATGTAGTGTACATGTACCTTTTATTACCCAGATTTAGTTTATACCAGGCTCAGGATGTTATGTATGTACAGTAGATGTGCATCATGCTTTTAATCTTTCCCATGGACAGGTATAATGCATCCCATGCATGACTTTTGAGAGAGAGAGAGACTATACACAAATCACTAATGTAAGAACACGCTTAAATTATGATAAAAACATATTAAAATGAGACTAATACTACAGAAATCAATATTTGGTTACTTTTCTCTATTACTGTGTGTGTTGTGTATAGAGAAACATTACCACACAAGTTTCCACAATATGTTGAGTCATTGTATGGAATTACAATTGTTTGTATTATTTTTTTATTTATTTACTTATTTATTTTTTAGATATACAGTATTTACTTGTCATTAATGTTATGTTGTATTGCAGGCATGGGCAATCTTTCCTCAGTCATGGGCCGCATTACGATTTAGGTATTTTTCTGTGGGCCAACCCACCAAGATTTATAGCCTACCTAACCCAAAAGTAATGTTAATATTGTATTAGCACAGACATAAGACAATATTTTGGCGGTTTCGGCCAAAAATTAGATTTCGTTGAAAATCTCAGTATAAGTACGTACTCCTGAGCATGTGTTGTAGGAATCATTAATGAGATCAAGTGATTCTTCTCCCTTGGCTTGTGTGGTAAAATTCACTCAGTCAATTGTCTCATGATTAAAATATATATATACTCTACAGGAAGTTTGGGGGGGTTATTCTGAGACATACTGTACACTTCAGAATTATGAAGTGCATTATGCATTTTGAAAACACCCTCTGTGTATGTGCTAATTTAAATATGAATTTGCTATTTAGTGTTCTTTATTGATTATGTATTTATGTTATTGTATTAGAAGTGCCTACTAATGTACATGCTCCTGGAACTGACCACTATGGCATTTTCACAGTACTGTAGTTCGATTACAGTACAATATTATGTGTACGTATATAACATCCTGGACCACAAATAACGAGTAATCCCCTTTTCTATAGAAACTGTACCCCTAGAGAAACCAAAGGGTTACTTATATTGAGAAACTGGACAGATTGAGAAAAGTGTGAATGGTACAGCACCAGTTTTGATAAATGTGCAGTAACTGATATGTTAGGGAGGTTCTGTGGTAGACACTTGGCAGTGTGGGATGTAGGGGTAGGTGTGTGTGTGAGACATCAATAAGTAAATGTTTTATATATTTATTCTAATGGATAAATTTGTCTTACAGAAGCCCTGAAAGGAGCAGCAATAGCAGGTGGAGCTGTCCTAGGTCTTGGGGTGTTAGTGGGACTGGGTGTTGCTTTGAGCAAGAGGAATTAAGACATTACTCATGGGATGGTATGATGAGCAGCTGTTTTTTAACCCTTTCAGTGCAGTTGCCTTATAAACCAGCATCTACTTACTGTGTGGTATACTATATTTAAATATTGAAGAAGGAAAAATCTTATACATTGACTAGCAGTGAATAGATTACTTATTTCTATTTACAGAAATATATAACTTGTCTCAAAACAGTTGTCTCTACTGTTCCTACACAAGATGAGAGGGTGCTTGTCAGTAGCAGGGCAGCACTGTCACTCACGAGTATACAAGTGTGATTCTATTATATTTAGTTGATTTTTCTTGCTTCTGTTCCACCATACAATACCCTATTATAATACAATAGTATACACTATGAGTGATGTCACTAAGTGCATCTGAGTTGATACTGTCAATAAAATCTACATAATCTGGATTATCTTCCACAGATGCATAAGCAATCGTTGTTGTCATACAGGTTGCTTTGCCACTATAGGGCAAGAAATAGCAGATTGGCAAAGTTGAACACTTACACAAATATTTCAGTGAAATATATCACATGGGAATTTAGATACAAAAAACCCTATGTGTACTGTTTGTAGTGCATGGAAAGAAAAAGAAATAGAGACCCTTTATTTACCTGCCAGAGTGAAAGGGTTGAGAAATTATTATGTATTTAGATACTTGTAATTTCATATTATCAATGTAAATATGCTGTCTATGATTCATAATATCAGTACTGTGCTCTTGAAAGTTGCACTCTTGGTTGTTAAGTCAATGCCATGGCTGATCTTAGTGACTGGATGAGGAAGAATACCAATCATGCTTTTTCTTGTAAATATCTCTCATTATACTGTTGATGATTGTGTTGCTTTGGTGATCAGTGCCATGGTTGACACACAACCAAGGTCATGTGCTTTAGGGCATTAAGGGATTTATATCCACCTCTTATGCTACAAAAAGGTACTTGTGTCTTTCATCAGTAGTCATTGCCTTATTGTCAGGAGAAGGTACATAAATATGTAAGTCACCAGGAAACTATTTATGAGAGAGTGGTTTTGAAATTAAAGTTTCCAGTATTTGTAAATATAAATAAGGTTACATATCATGCTTGTATACTGTACAGTATTTATCAGGATTACTGTACTGATAATTGAAAATTTCCTGTAAAGGATTATGACCATTATTTAATGTGGGGGAGAGACTGTGACTGACTTAACCTTGGGTGTGTATTGTATATTGATTTGAGGAAAGGTGTTCCTCATGCTTAGCATGTTAAGGTGTTTGATTTATTGTAATATAGAATTGTCTCAGTAAACCTTACTGGAGTTTTTATCTGAGTTTCCTCTCCAAGAATATAAATGCTAAGATATGTATGGCTGTGAAAGGGTTTTCATTACTTACACTTAATTTATGTTAATTTCAAGTTGATAATTTGTAAGCACTGTACTGGTATAGGGTAAGTATATAAAAATGAGGATATCAATTTGATATTCCCTGAAAAATAGAAGAAATTTATAAAGGAAGTAGATGTGTAATACAGTATAAATGTACATCTTACCCTGCAATAATGCAGTATAGATCTTCTGATGCAATATAGACTATTTCATCTTAGAGTTTAGTGTATAATGTCAAATTGTTGTAAGACCAAACCATATTGTTAAATAACACATTCCTCTATGTTATGGGACTCTACTAATTTAAAATTCTTTTTGACTACTCTCCTTTGGTTACTGGACATTAGTGTGTTTTGATGATAAAAATGAACACACTCATGCAGGAATGAGAGTAGAGAACACCTTTATTATGAACACCATAGCCATCAAGGCAGTTTAAACCTCCAAGTACAGTGAAGCTTAGTATTTTTCCTTGATTCTGTTATTATTAATTATTATTATTCAAATCTTTTGGTTTGCATTATGGAGTCCAGCAAATAATATTGCCTTAGTACATTATTCATTAAAGAGCACAATGAATGACATGAAATATCTTGCTTTATCTTAAACATGGCTTCTTAATATTCCAGGGATCTTCCCTCCTTTGTCTGGTCTATTGTTCTTGATGCCTTCCCTACCTCCCGTGTACTTACCTCCTCCCCTTCCGTGTACTTGCCTCCTCCCCTCCCGTGTACTTACCTCCTCCCTCCGTGTACTTGCCTCCTCCCCTCCGTGTACTCACCTCCTCCCCTCCGTGTACTTGCCTCCTCCCCTCCGTGTACTTACCTCCTCCCCTCCGTGTACCCTCCTCCCCTCCCGTGTACTTACCTCCTCCCCTCCCGTGTACTTACCTCCTCCCCTCCCGTGTCCTCACCTCTTCTCCTCCTTTGCCTGCTTGCTCTATTCCTTTTATCCCTCTCCTGTTTCTCTTTAGTGTATTGTTCCATCTTTCCCTCCCACAATACCAACATACCTGCAACATTACCCTAATACCTCTTTGTGCACGTGTGTGGTGGATCCCATACACTTCACTTTTTCTTAGTCCTACTATTCTGCCAGCCCTAAGTGACTAAACTGGTGTCAAGATGTTGTCCCAAAAAGGGCAGGAAGAGAGAGAGAGAGGACATTTTTGAAGCCACAGTGTTTGTGCAGGGATGTGTTTGGGTCAGGTGACCTGCCAGTTTCTCAATAATGCTGACCATCAGTGATCACACATGAGTTACACGCTGAGAACCTGTTTTGGCTGACAGGTTGTTACCTTGCCTTGTTACTCCTAAATTGTGGTCTTGCAACTCCTTCGTGAATTTAGCAGTGTAATAACATGTAGACTGGGTGTTCAGTTCTCTACAACTCACTCATAATTCACATTCTTTACATACTGAAAGTTGCAATTATACAGTTAGGTTATGTTATTGCTAGGCAATATCTACCTGAGTAATTGGCATGGTTTAAAAAGAAGGCTTACTTCTGCATGTTGTGTGTTTATTTCTTGCCAGTATCAGAGTTATATCTGTCCTATCTTGGAGTAGTAACTATGATGGCCCTCCTTTGGACATTTCCAGTTCACTTTTCATGAGAAATGCTGTCAAAAGCCTAAGCAAAGTCCAGATATGTAATGTCAATATTTCCACCATGTTCTAAACATCCAGCAGTTTGAGTAATTACATCAAACTGGAGTGTCCTGGCATCAAACCTTGTTGGTACAGTAGTCATTTACAAGGTCGTCTCATTGTAGATGTTCCGTCGTATCTCATTATAATGCTTTCTAGTATTTTACACTGCTGGTCAGGCTCACTATTTATAATTATTCATGGAGTGGTGATGCCTATGCTTGATATAGGGCACAAGCTCCTTGCATAACTCTCTTAGCACTGGTGTTTTAATTTCGATTTGCACAACAGTAGAAAGCCTTTGGGTTTGACTTGACGTCACTTACAATCCACTTCTGGAACTCTTTTTTCAGCCCTTCTGCCCTCTGACTTTGCCTGGTTCCTGGATCTGCCATACATCCTCCTGCCTTGCTCGTCATTTGTCATAACTCACCTCTTGAATTTCTGAGATTTTTTTTCAACTGTTAACCGCTGCATGTTTTATGGTTAATGACCTTATATTCCTGGTGCCATTGAGTTTGGTCTCCGCTTTATATTTATCAATCAAATACATAGTTCACATTACTGACTATGATATTTTATTAAATTTTTATTAGGTTCTGTACCACATAACTTGAAATTATAGTAACTTACTGTACAGTACTTTATTCTGTGATAGGATACTTAGGTTCTTTAGCACATAAAGATAAAATGGATGTCTTGTGATTTATTCATGGTAAATTATGCACCTACAGTACAGAACTTAGTTTTCATGATTTATTTATGATAAGCTTTCATCCAATCATATTTTCAATTGTGTTGACCAAAGAATAGGTAATAACTGTTTAGAATTTTTGTTGTAATTTCCTTTCATATTGGTGTAAGGTAAAATGTGGCCTTGCAATATTGATGTATCTAAAATGATGCAAAATTATCAGTGTGAGTACCTCATCTCCATACTCCATCTTTATTTTGTCTTTTAATTTCTTTATTGTTTTGATGAAGGGTGGCTGGAGTCAAAGATTAATGCAATTCATTCACTTTCATTTATGCAGCATCATCAGAAAAGAATGTCCTGGTTATAATAGGTTGTATTAGAGTTAGGAACCTGACAAGAAAGACTGAAAGAGACTGTGCAGCATGGAGAGCTGCTATCAGGTAACCGCGACAGCTAGACGAAGTGTGGGACATGGCCATAAAACGATAATGATGAGGATGGTGTAATAATTTATATAATAAACCTGGGCATTCTTTTTGATGACCCTGCATTTATAACTAAATTTGTCTGGCACCAATTCCAAGGTTTTATTGGTGTATATTTGGGTTTGGTAACCACTTTTCACTTTCTTTTTATGGGAAATAGCCTGCCTGGGCACAAACAGATCATCCATCAATTGTGATGTGCACATCACATTTTTTTTATTTATTTCTTTGTGTCTGTCAGTTGAAAGCTATGCATATTAAAATGTACACACACAATGTGGTGTTTATTATAATGTATAGTATCTACAATATTATTTAAATTAAATTATTTGCTTGTAAAATGAATATATATTAGGAAAGTACCATTAATAGAGTTTAAAAACACCATTGATGAAAGTCTGGGGAACTTGACAGAAATAATATGATACGGATTACATGACATTAACTTAGAGTGAGAGGACTAGAGGATGTCAGGTAGACCAATTGTTAAAGAAAAACAAGCTCCCCCCCCCCCCACAGTTAAAGTTTAAAAGTTTTGAAGTAAATAGAGCACAGGAATACCTCGCTTTTCGCAACCCTTCTTACCCGCAGTTGATATTTTCTCAACCCTATTTGATACTGTATTCACAAAACATACCTGTATTTGCAAATGAAAAATTATGATACCAGGCGGGCTAGTCCCAGCTCTCATCTGCTGACGTAAGACTCGCTTCACACACACACACACACAAGCTGCCGCCATGTGTGGATGACCTGTGAGGTTTAGAAATTAATGAAGTTCAATTGGACGGAAAACGTGTGTGAAAATTTATTCGGGGGAGACACTAGTCCTACGCCTGTACACTACCTGTATTTCCAAACTACTTTGTGAAAAAATGCTCGAGCGTTATAGAATTCTTCATATGACGAGCCTGTTTTTCCTGTGCATCAATTGTGGTGCATTTGTGGTAAGGGCTTGAAGTGCCTGTGATTATTTTTGTCAGCTGTAGGTGAACTGAAGATGGAAAAACACACCTGTGTGAACACGCATTTTCCCGTGTGGGACAAAAATGCTCGTGTGAAGTAGGCCTAAGTAAGACCAATGTAATGAACGTGTGTGTGTGTGGACTTGGCAGGTCGCGAGGAGTTAAGGTAGAGGTCACCGTAGCTCCATCACTTTACCTCTCCTCCTACCAGGTGAAGCTGTGTTATTGTTACTTTTTACTTCGTAATTTCGAGTAGAAATGTGGTGAAAACATATGCCGAAGGGCTAAGCTTTTAGTGCAGCTCTGCCTTGTGGTAGGGGGCTCTCATAATGTTTCACGGGTTATATTTAATCTTGGACAAAACCATGACACGACTTGTCTTTGATTGTACACACAATGGACGAGTTGACGGTTCTGAATAGACACAAGAAATACACTCTGCCACAATCAGTGTACTGTACTTTAGAAAATGAGCCTTGATTCATGACTTGATTCACGTCTTCTCATACTTGCTTTTCAAAATATTCTTTAAACTTGTGTCACACACATACTAAATATATTTACTTACCTTTTCTTGTCCTTTGAGAAGTAATAAAACCTCAGGTCTTTACTAGTGAAGTCCTTTCCTTCTCCTCATGTTCGTCACTGGAATGTCAGTCACCATGCCAAGAGTCACAACAAACAGCCAAGCAACTTTTCATCTAGTGGCCAGGCGCGCGCACTATGGAGATCTACATTAAGAAGCTTTAAGGCCACGAGGATGGCCAACCCTAGGGCCACCTAGGCGTGAATTTGTTTAAGGTGTAGAAGATGTCGTCAACACAACAACCACAACCTGAGTTAAGGCTTCAAAGTTTCACCCTGCCCGGGGATCAAACCCGCTTGCTTGCGAGGCGAGCATGCTGATCATCACACCACAGGTCCTCCTATATACTTTCCTTGATCGCCACTATAAACAAACAAAAGACAATCGCTGACTCGCTGTGTATAAGAGTGTGAAATCCTTTATATTTGTGCTACTTAATTCTTTAAATAGTTGCTACATGTGAGCTTACAAGATCTTCAAGTCCTTTACACTTACGGTTGCTTAATCCCTTTTTTTTTATAATTGTCCTCGCAGCTTTTTCTCTATCGCGCTTT